ATTACATCAACTCCAGGCTGAGGGACTGATTATCTCCTTCTGATATTCACTATTCTTCTTTGTATTGGACTGATGAAGTCTAATTTATCAATTATCTCATTAAGTGGAAAAAAACGGGAGCAGTAGGTCTCTAAATTTCATTTTTGGACCTCTATAATATGTATAATTTACATTTAACATGAGTACTTTATTAAAAAAATTAGTTTGATCCTAATGGTACAAACATAGGGTCTATACACAACAAATATACAAAAGTAAATAATAAAAGGCCTAACGATACATAAGGGACATTAAGGCTGTCAGATGTTCACTACCAATCGAAAATATTTTACTCCCAATTAAGAGTGCGTAGGGATTAAATTAAAGTTTATCAACTGAGATTTATATCCCTCAACGTGTACATGCACTAATGTTCTCAGAGCTAATACATACGACTGTTATATATATTGTTTTGCTTATACTTCCATACAGGAGTCCAGAGGAAAATTATCTCATTATTAGAATAATGGCTGACAGACAGTAGTGATTCTGCTTATATGGAAATCAGTTACAAGTCGCATTCCACAGGGATCAGTCATTTGGCCACTTGTTTGTTATTTTCAGTGATTATACTGACGAAGGAATAAAAGACACAAAATCTCTAACGACAAAAAAAATAGACTAATAAAATAAAAGTTCATACTAAAACTTGAAAAAAAAAAAAAAATTTAATCGGGTTCAAACGTATAGCGCTTGTGTATCTTACTAAATGAAATGTTCCGATTGTTATTGGATTACGTAGGTATCAATACGGAAATTTTAATAAAAAAGATTGATATTGTTTTATATGTATTTTGGAATGTTCGAGGGTTAGTGATCGCGCAGATATTGAAACACAAATATTTAATGCAAGTGACGTGGATTATAAACTCTACCTGAGATTTATCAGACATATTGTGTTTAATTGTGTGCAACTAATGTGACGTTTTATTGTGGCAACGTTTAACTTTCCAGGAGCTCTGATAAGCTGTTACAGACATTACAGGGGCACAGAGGTTATATGTAGGTAACTAGTGAGATGCATAAGCTTAATCACTGCAGTAGACTGACTGGTCTATGCTATTGGTAGTAGTATTATTAAACCATACCACTGGCGGGGACAGAACCCGCGATCAGAGTCATAAAACTCCAGACCGACGCACTAGCCATTGGGCCAGCTGGCTACAATATTTTATTGTAGCCAGCTACAATATCTTATTGTATCCAGCTGGCCCAGTGGCTAACGCGTCGGTCTGGAGTTTTATGACTCTGATCGCGGGTTCTCTCCCCGTCCGTGGTATGGTTTGTTTGCAATCGTGTCATTACGATTTCGTGAGACAGTAGTATTATTAGTGGTACTGGTAGCAGCAGCGTCGTCATCGTCGTCGTCGAGGTAACTCTTTGTTGCGACGTGATGGCTGGATTTATTGTTTTGGCTGGTTCAAAGTTTTTCAATTTAGTCCTAGTCAGGTCTTTTATGGAATTACTAGTTACGATTACGACCTTGATGTTAGCTTGTGCGTGTACTTTAGCGACGTTCAATGCACCCTGGCTGTAAGAAAGGATTATAACTTTATTAGGAGTGGTGTTAATGATGAAAAATTGAAATGTAGCTCTTAGAAGGTTTTGGTGTATGTATCAGAAATCTTCCCTGTGAGGATAGACTGAGGGCCCTGAATCTGCACTCTCTCTCGAAAGGCGTAGAATTAGGGGGGATATAATCGAGGTGTATAAATGGAAAACAGGAATTAATAAAGGGGATGTAAATAGCGTGCTGAAAATTTCCAGCCAAGACAGGACTCGCAGCAATGGTTTCAAGTTGGAAAAATTCAGATTCAGGAAGGATATAGGAAAGCACTGGTTAGGTAACAGAGTTGTGGATGAGTGGAACAAGCTCCCGAGTACCGTTATTGAGGCTAAATAGGTTAGATAATTACATGAGTGGATGTGGGTGGGTGGGTGTGAGTTGGACCTGACTAGCTTGTGCTGCTAGGTCTGGTGCCGTGCTCCTTGAGTGGAGGTGACCAGACTGGGTGGGTCATTGGGCTTATCCGGGGAGGTGGGTCATTGGTCTAATCCGGGGGGGGGGGACAGACATGGACCTGCTCCGCATGGGTCAGTAGGCCTGTTGCAGTGTTCCTTCTTTCTTATGTTCTTGTACCAAATTTGCAGTCCAGAGTTTCTTGACGAGAAGTATACGTACACCAAACCTTGACCGAGATTCATTTTCCTTCCCTTTTCATTGAAGATTTCAAGAAAAGAGCTCTTCAGAGCATCGATTCTGCACGCACTAACACCATTCATAACAAAATTATAATCCTTCCCATATAAGACCTGACCAGGACTGAGTTGAACAACCTAGAAGCAGTCAATGCAGAGGTTTATACTATCCCCTGTGGAGCCTGTGACATCGGCGAAACAGAAAGAAGCCTAGATATGTATATGTCTCGTTGAACATATTGCATACAGGAGCGATAAGGTGAGCAACTCAGGTGTATAATATTGGATTTTCACTAACCCTCTGATGAAATTTAACGATGCCTGCCTTGTGATTAAAGAACAACACCTACTACATCATCATCATCATCATCATCATCATCATCATCATCATCATCATCATCATCATCATCATCATCATCATCATCATCATCATCATATCATCATCATCATCATCATCATCATACATCATCATCATCATCATCATCATCATCATCATCATCATCATCATCATCATCATCATCATCATCATCATCATCATCATCATCATCATCATCATCATCATCATCATCATCATCATCATCATCATCATCCCGTGAGTATGCTTTTACCTCCCTAATTCTTATATATACCTTCTTAATGTCTGTAATTTTGTAACGGCTTGACAAAGCTTCTGGAGAGCGAAACGTTGCCACAATAAAATGTCCCTTTAGTTGCACATGTGTTCTTTTATCTAACATATTGTTGGCAATTCCACCAACATTATTACTGTGCTCAGACTGAGAGATGTTACATACTCGTCTGAGGAGGATTGTATTGTCTGTACCGGCACTAATTCATTTTCAAGTTATTTATCGCTCAAACGTATGTTCCATGGATTATATCGGTTTATTGCTTTCTGAGAAATCTGTCTTTGTCATCATGAAGCCTTTTCTCTTGAAATTAGGATCAAATGTTTGTCTTTTTCTTTGCATAAACTTATCATTGTTACATAAGAACATAAGAAAGGAGGAACATTGCAGCAGGCCTGTTGGCCCATACTAGGCAGGTCCTTTACAATTCATCCCACTAACAAGCATTTGCCCAACCCAATTTTCAATGCCATTAATGCTCTTAAGAGACCACGCTTCCTTATATTATACCATTTTTTCTGTTATGATTTTCTCTAGGTATAGAATAGAAAAATATTCAACAATTGTTTCAGCTTTAAATAATTACACGAGTGAGGCTGGTGCGTATAAGAGATAAGATTTTGTTCGGACTTTTAACCCCGGAGGGTTAGCCACCCAGGATAACCCAAGAAAGACAGTGAGTCATTGAAGGAATGACTGCCTTATTTCCACTGAGGTCCTCAATATTGTCCCCCAGGATGCGACCCACACCAGTCGACAAACACCCAGGTATATACTTGCTTGCTGGCGACCGGGATAACAAGTATAAGGAAACACACCCAAGGGTTCCAGCCTTGCCGGGATCGAACTACGTACACTCAGCGTGTGAAGCGAGAGCGTTGCCTACCACGGGCCTGGTAAGGTCCCACAAGCCATAAGACTATATGCGATCCAGACCAGCGAAATGCATTCCTAGTGATCTGCTGCACAGGTTACGATAGCTTAGTCTTTTGATGGGGGAGGATTTCCTTTTTCTATGGTTGCTGTCTTCATCAAATATTTTTGTTTGTGGCTTTATTAGATAATTATGAAATTGCGTTTTTGTTTGTAGATATCATATCCCATTTCCGTTCCGAAGGTTCCATTGGGAAAAATCTTTGTTCCAGTGACTAACAAAGTCTCATGCTGGTACAGTGTTTGGCACAACCAAATCCATCCACTTAGTTACTTGAAACACACACACACTGTGCTCCAGCCCTGCCGTGAGATATTACAGAACAATATCTCGACATTTCCCTACGAACGTTTCAAGTTATATAGCAATATAGAATCATCCAGAGATCACTTGGAGCGGGCGTTGTGCTGGGTGACAAGAGAAGGCGAGCTGAGTCGCGGATAATAGACAGAGAGAGAGAGAGAGAGAGAGAGAGAGAGAGAGAGAGAGAGAGAGAGAGAGAGAGAGAGAGAGAGAGAGAGAGAGAGAGAGAGAGAGAGAGAGAGAGAGGCAGGCAGGCAGGCAGACAACGAGACACAGAGAGACAGACACACAGAGACAAAGACACAGACTCTGAATGAGTGAATAAACACATAAATAAGTCGGTAAGTAAATATTAAATTAACTATAACTTGTAGGTTTAAGTCACATTCTAGGTTCCAATTAGATCTCTAGGGAAAATCATTCAGTTAAATTCCTTGTGATCATGCAAGGTAAAGCATTTGCATAACTTGAAAGATGGAAAGTTTTCCTCCGTATTTTTCTCAAATATAAGAATGAACTGGCTTAAGGATAGTTAGATCCTCGTCTTGAGTATCCGACCACTCGAGGTTGACACTCATCCATCTTTTGGCCCCTAATTACGTCTACTTGTACCAGAGTGGCAAAAATACAAATTAATTACAGTCAAATATAATGCCCTGGTCATAATTTAAAAATATATTACAAAATGATGAGTGCGGTACCTATAAAAAAAATATTTTTTTATATAGCAGTACTTGTGCTGAAGTAAAAGATGCTGTGTTATATATGAGACGCGAGTTACATAGTCAACGTGTTTTCTGTGTAAATATTATGGTCCCGTAGTTACATTGTAGAGTGTAGAGCAAGTAGATGTTTGGGCAGGTATATGCGTAGTACAGGTGCGCCTTTCTCCCCAGGTGCATCAAGCCGGTGTGGGCAATCGTCTCCGAATGAACACCTGTTCCCAGTTGTCATTCCCAGCTGTGATACCAAGCTGTGATCCCCAGCTCCAGCATCGTTATCATCTCCAGTTGACGTCGTGCTTCAACACCTGACACGACGGCATCTGTCCTCTAACCCGCTTCCTGTTGCCATTACACCTGAGCCAGCTCACCTCTTGCATATGTAACACCAGCTGCTAGGGGCCACCTGCACCAAACAGCAAAAATCACTTACGTTGCGACAACTTCTTTACAAAACTGACCTAGTGCATGCTTATCCAGTATCTGCCCAAGTTATCAACTTGCTTCAGCAAATCCCTTTCTTCGACTCTGCAACACCAGTCTTACCTAACCTGCTGTTAAACTCATCAATATTTATTAAAGCAAGCCATCTGTCGTCCCTTGAAACACCTGTTCCACCTGACTCCTTGCCTTCCATTTATTTCATAAATTTCTTATAATAACTAATAACAAGGTTCAGCAACACCAGCCATGAATGCTATCAACTCAGCAACATTTACCTGTCTACCATGAGACCTCCTGCCTGGATAACCGCAATACACTTGCTATGAATTATTTGTAACCTGCGTACATCATAAGCCCCATTACAATTATTTTAACAGCAGCAGCAACATTAACTCATCAGAAACACTGCCTTAGTTAATTAACATCAAATAGTATGGTTATACTAGAAGAAATGTAAGAAAATAACAAACCTCCAGGTAATACCATCAACAAATAAAACCGTGATTATAACGGTTAAGGAATCAAGTGAGTAAGCTTGATATCAAGATGGAATGCCTTAAACAGCTAGGGCTAAACATTGTACTTAAGCTATGAATTTCTCCTATTTTTATTTGGAAAGTGACTTAAATCTGCAGCAAGGGCTTGTTTTAAGCTTTTATCACAAATCTTCTGTCAAAGAGCACCTATGATTTGCCTGAAGTATTACCTTGAAGAGATAGCGAAGTCCGACTTTAAATAATATCACTTTCAGTTTAATCATCATTAACAATGATTTTTAATAAGAGACTTCGTATTATGAAAAAGGGTTTCTAGTTGCCCCGAAAATATTTCCAACACATCTTAACTTTGTATGTGTGTAATTTTAAATAAACCACAAATTAACTCTTTTTAAAGTGCAAAATGAGTGAATGAGGAACAGTTTGTTGTAAGAGTGGAGACGGTGTCAGGTGATTGTTGGCAGAGCAGGAGGAAGGGACAGGCACAGCACACCAAGCTGCCTGGGACAGGCACAGCACACCAAGCTGCCTGGGACAGGCACAGCACACCAAGCTGCCTGGGACAGGCACAGCACACCAAGCTGCCTGGGACAGGCACAGCACACCAAGCTGCCTGGGACAGGCACAGCACACCAAGCTGCCTGGGACAGGCACAACACTCCAAGCTGCCTGGGACAGGCACAACACTCCAAGCTGCCTGGGACAGATACAGCACACCAAGCTGCCTGGGACAGGTACAGCACACCAAGCTGCCTGGGACAGGTACAGCACACCAAGCTGCCTGGGACAGGTACAGCACACCAAGCTGCCTGGGACAGGCACAGCACACCAATCTACCTGAGACAGGCACAGCACACCAATCTGCCTGGGACAGGCACAACACTCCAAGCTGCCTGGGACAGGCACAGCACACCAAGCTGCCTGGGACAGGCACAGCACACCAAGCTGCCTGGGACAGGCACAGCACACCAAGCTGCCTGGGACAGGCACAACACACCAAGCTGCCTGGGACAGGCACAGCACACCAAGCTGCCTGGGACAGGCACAGCACACCAAGCTGCCTGGGACAGGCACAGCACACCAAGCTGCCTGGGACAGGCACAGCACACCAAGCTGCCTGGGACAGGCACAGCACACCAAGCTGCCTGGGACAGGCACAGTACACCAAGCTGCCTGGGACAGGCACAGCACACCAAGCTGCCTGGGACAGGCACAGCACACCAAGCTGCCTGGGACAGGCACAGCACAGCACACCAAGCTGCCTTTTTAAATAAATTACACAAGTATTCTTCTTAACACAAGCATGCATATTTGTCTCAATGTTAAATGTAGAATCAGCTACGTGATTATGTTTGGTAAGTGCAGACTTAAATGCTAACGCCATTAAAGGTAATAAATACCTCGCGTAGCTTTGAAATTAGGTTAAACGAGTGAAAAGGTTGCGTTTAGGAAAGACCTAACTAGCATAATAATATATCTATATTTCTACAAGTACATGTAAAAGGTGTATAGTCCTAGCTGACATCAATGACATACTACTATATAGAAAGCCGCTTGTTATGCAGAGCATTTCGGGTAAATTAGTTCAATTTTGTCCCAGGATGCGACCTACACCAGTCGACTAACACCTAGGTACCCATTTTGCTGATCGGGAACATAGACAACCGGTATAAGGAAAAACGCCCAATATTTCTACCCTCGCCGGAAAACGAACCCTGACCCTCGCCGTGTGAAGCGAGAGCGTTAGCCACTACCAGTCCACGGGGCTAAAAGACCTACTACACAGTTCTTCCTCCTTATATTATACTCTAACACAGATGTGAAAGTAGTAGGAGTTTGCCTCATAATAGGCTTACATATCGGACTAAATAGTCTGAGTGTAGGGATGAGGTATGTGGGTACTAGGTATGCCTCAGCTAGTGTGTGTGCTAGTTCAAGCTGAAAGGGCACGTTACCACAGACAACCAGCTCACCGCACCTGCTGAGTGTACAGTTGAACACACGATCAGCATGATTCTAGTCCAGCCTTTCAGTGTCGTAAGACAAAACCTTCAATAGTTTGTAGTGTCATAAGGTCAAAACACCGTTTAGAAAAAGAACATTGTCACGAGCTCAAGTCACGTAATTTGGTGAAAATCATGATGTATTTTGTGTCATAAAATAAAAAATTTAAGTAGCGTGTTGCGCCATTAGACCCAAAGAGTGAAGTGTTATTGTTGTATCAAAAGCACAAACTCTGAAGCACAGCAGTTTAGAATAAAATAAAAATAAAAGCTGTATAAGGCAGTAATTTGTTGACAACGTTTTGACCACACAGTTGGCTTAATCAAGTTATAGACCTGTTTGTGACTTAATGAAACCCACTATGTGGGCGAAATGTTGTTAATAAAGGATTGCATTCTACTGCATTTGTGGTTTCCATCGTGTCAGTCTGTAGTATGCTAAATGGTTAAAGTTAGTGTTAAACACTCTAGTGGTCAGTGGTGTATCTTAAGTGGGTAGTGTTAGTATTAAACGATTTAGCGTGTGTACAGTACCTTAACACTAGAGAAGAGCCTCCAAATTATGTGTTGTAAAACCACAGCACTGAAGAACCTCCAAGTGGTGTGTCGTAAAACTACAACACCTGAAAAAAAACTCCAAATAGTGTGCTATAAAACCACAGAACTGGAGAAGATACGTGTTGTATTGAAATATTACAACACCAGAGCAGACACGAGGCTTGTTGTACTAGAACAGACATGTGTTGTAATATCTCAACACTGGAGGAGCTTTATAGGTCATAAAAGACTTCTGGCGTAGTTTGATGTTGATATTTTAATAATTCTGGGAGGATCTGTTGCGTGGTAAACACGAGGCCCTGGAAACAATGCTCTGCTCTGGTTGTGTATAAAATAGTGAGATTGTTGGGAAAGTCATTGTTGTCTCAATACTGTTGAATGGGATTTGTTTTAGTGAAAAATGGACTCGGTTCTGTTAGGAACATGAATGAGGATCAGTCGCTGCACTGTTCTCTGCAATATGGCGAGGAAGTTCAATACATTTTAGACAGAATTCGCTAATCAGAGGAAGACAGTACGTGCAGGTATGTACACTGAGATGTGAATATCTGAGTGTATTTATGCAGTCGAATGGCTTTAAGACTTCATATTCTATGTTTCTTTTTTTTTAATATTTTATTTGTCGGCGTTTTGCCTTCCATCCACAAAAGAAACATTTTCAATATTACCTTTCAACCACCAGTGAAACATTCACTTCAGTATTACCTTCCTACCATCAGTGTGGCACACTTAACACTGTCTTCCTTATAACAATGTAACACACTCCTCAACATTCTTCCTTCCAATGTAACACTCATCAGCATTGTCTTCCTACCAATAAAGTAATACATTAATCCACATAGCCTTCCTAACACTATCGTAACACACTCATCAACGTTGTCCTCCTACCAATAACGTAGCACACTCAGCAATATTGCCTTCCTACAACTAATGTAACACACATAAACATTGCTTTCCTACCAGTAATGCAACACAGTCTTTAAAATGGCCTTCCTAACACTTTCATAAACCACCCATCAACAAGGTCTTCCTACCAACAGTGTAACACATTCATTAACACTGTCTTCATACCTCTAATATAAATCACTTTTCAACAAATGTCAGTTAATCAATAACACTGAAGTTAACACGTGCAATTTTCACAACTTACTGCCGTCAAACCTAACACCGGGAACACCACACCTAGGCTTTCCTTGGCAGCACAAAGATTACTAGGGTATGTACAGCTGTTCTGTGGAAGAATGTGTTGACGAATTTGAGTAGCATTGGGTAATTTTTGTTTATTATATAATTCTTCTGTAATTTGCGTGTCTTAAAAGTGTAACAATATTCCATAATTCACAAGGCTACATTTCTGATTGCACAATGTATTGCAACTCGAGGCTAAAAATCATGTCATCAATCTTGTCAGCTTTACGGAAATAATTTCTTTTTAAACCCTTACTTTTGATGTATAGCTTTGAAGAGTATCGAGAGTTTTACTACTCTCGGGGCCCGGCCATGGGCCTGGTGCTTGCCTGGTCAACCAGGATGTTGCTGTTGGAGGCCTGCTGCCCCACATATCCATCACAGCCTTGTTGATCTGGCACTTGGTGAAGATACTTAACCAGTTTCCTCTTGAAGGCTTCTACTCTTATTCCAGCCGCGTTTCTGATATCTTCTGGTAAGATGTTGAATAGTCTGGGACCCCGAATGTTGATGCAGTGTTCCCTTATTGTCCCCACCACACCCCTGCTCCTCACTGGGTTTATTTTACACTTCCTCCCTTATCTCTCACCCCAGTATGTTGTTATGGCTGTGTACAGATTTGGGACCAGGCCCTCGAGTACTTTCCAGGTATATATTATCATGTATCTCTCCTCCGCTCCAGTGAGTACACGTTCAAGACTTGAAGGCGTTCCCAGTAATTTAGGTACTTTACTGGCTCAATGTGAGCTGTAAATGATCTCTGTGTTTGCTCCAGTTTTGATATTTCTCCTGCTTTGAACTGGGCCGTCAGCACTGAGCAATATTCTAAATGAAGGAGTACTAGCGATCTGAAGAGTGTCACCATCGGCATTATTTCCCTTGTTTTGTAAGTTCTCAATACCCACCCCGTCATCTTCCTGGTTGTCGTGATCTTTGTCTTGTGTTCCTGAAAGAAAATTCCCACCCCCATACCCTGTTTCCGTATGACGATTGGCATCCTATACCTTGTTCTTTAACTGCGATTAGCACCCTGTGCAATCTTAACTGAATTATCACCTTGTGCACTGTTCATGAGCATCGATTCTGGGGAAAATTCAGTAAATTTTTCCTGAAAGCTGTTTATTTTTTTTATCCCCTACATACTCTGTACTCGCCTATATATGGTTGCAGAGCTCGACTTACAGCTCCTGGCGCCGCCTCTTTGCTGGTCGCTGCTAGGTACACTCTCTCCCGGCTACAAGAGCCTTATCGTACCTCTTCTTAAAGTTACATGTATCTCACCTCTACTACTTCACTCTCCAGATTGTTCCACTTCGCAGACACATACGGAAGTACGTTTCTGTAAGGTGCTTTGTGTATAGTATCGCTTGTGAGGATAGAGCTTGTAGAACTTTCATTGATTCGGAGATGAGTGTTGACCACAGCTCAGAATCTAGATTAATCCTACTCTTCTGTGTGCGGGTTATTTATGTATAATCTCCTTTTGCTTTACTTTCCTCTTATCTATGGCAAATAAGACCATGAAAGCCAAAATTGTCTGCCAACGTACTACACATTTTTTTGTGATCAATATATGATCAGCGAGGCAAACATCTACACCAAACAATTGGCCTGAGGATTGAAGTGAATTCTCAGGAAAAAATATCGTGGACCCACTGTAAAATTTCTAGTATGATGGATCTTACAGCTAGAAGACGAATTCCACTCTATTGTCATCTTTATAAGCATTTTTGAAGGAAGGTTCTCACCTGTGGGACAATCCCAGCGAGAATGTATTGTTTAGGACAAACTAAACTGGTTGAAGAGGCAGCAAAAGAATCCTACCAAATGATTCCTTGAAATAGTGAATTTCAACAGTCTTTAAAGAGTATCAAGAGAATCCCTTCCACTCATTAAGTAG